GAAGCTGGCGACCGGCGACACTGGGAGGCACTGGGTGCCCCTGTTTCTTTAGGAAAAGTGCGTGTGACATGAATTCCATTTTGACGTTTAGAAAGGAGTGGACCTCGGCAATGTTACGCCATGCTGGGAAGTAGGAGGGGAGACAGGTGGTGCAGGCCACGCTCAGGTGTCCTCTGACCCGTGTGCTCGGACACCTTCGCTTTGCACATGCATGTGGGTGTGGATGTGCCGACCACTCCAATGTGTGTGGGGGGGTCAGCGTCAGCATGTCTCCCTCAACCACTCTGCCACCACCCACCCCTTTTTTTGGTTTATCAAGATACGGTTTCTGTGTTTCTCTGGGATTAAAGCTGTGCGCCACCACTGCCTGGCTCACTTTGATTTCTTAAAAATTTCTTTATTAGTCATGTGCCTGTGATCCCAGTACTGCGGGAGGCAGAGAAGGCAGACCTCTGTGAGTTTGAAGCCAGCCTGGTTTACATAGTGAGTCCAGGACAGTCAAGGCTACACAGAGAAACCTTGTTTTGAGAAACAAAAATTATCTATTGTGTGAGAGAGAGTTTGAGTTCGAGGGGGTCATGACCAAGGTGTGGAGGTCGGGAGGACTTCTAGGAGTCAGCTCACCTGCTTTGTGGCGGGGGAGTGTCTGCTTGTTTCTGCTGTTGCACTGCGTGCTTCGGGCTAGCTGGCCTGAGGGTTTCTGGGCAGTCAGAATTCTCCTGTCTCTGCTCCCATCTCACCACAGGAATACGGTGTTACAGACGCTCAGCATTGCAGCCAGCTTCTCCTGCGGGTTCCAGGCGTGGAGCTCCGGCAACCTTACTCACGGAGCGCCTCCCCAGCCTCAGCTTTGCGTTTGGGGACAAGCTCTGTCGCCGCACCTGGGGCTCACTGTTCCGCAGGTGGAGGGATCCACCTCTCTGTCTATCACCACCGGGCTGGGATTATAGGAAAATTGCCAGGCTTAGCTTTTACACTGTTTCTGGGGAGCCAGACTCAGGTCCTAATGTCAGAAACTGGACCCAAGAAAAAGTCCATGCATCCAAACAATTTCAGCAAGGCAAACCCAGCAATCCAGCATGCCTAAGGGGCTCCCACTGGGCTTTTATTCCTAATGCCGAGGAGCCCTGCAAGACACTCTGAGTGGTCGGAGCTCAACCTCACTCTTTGTTTGAGACAGGGTTTCTCTGTGTAGCCCTGGCTGTCCTAGAACCACATTGGCCTCGAACTCACACAGACCCGCCTGCCTCTGCCTCCCAAGTGCTGGGATTACAGGGTGCGCCACTGTGCCCGCCCCAGGCTCACATTCTTTAAGGGGTGGGCGCTCTTAAAACGCACAGCTGCAAAGCCAAGTGCAGCTTTGGAGAGCAGGGTGCAACCCCGAGCACATTCTTCTCTTGTAGAGAGATGCTGAGCTGGGGAGCGATTCTTGCCGGGTGATGTCTTTACTCATTTCATTTTAAATTTTTTTTTTCAGGAGCTAGAGAGATGGCTCAGTGGTTGTGAACACTGACTGCTCTTCTAGAGGGACCCAGGTTCAATTCCCAGCACCCACATGGCAGCGCACAAGTCTGTGACTCTAGTTCCAGGGAACATGATGCCCCACACAGACACACATTAGGCAAAGCAACAATGCAGTAAAGATAACAATCAGTAAATTAACGCTGTTCAGATTTTATTCTTTTATGTCTGTGCGAATTTGCCTGCATGTGCTACGTGCGCCCTGTGCGTGTGGGGCGTCCTTGGAGGTAAGAAGAGGGATGGGATGGCTGAGCATCACAGACGGTATGAGTTGCCGTCTGGACGCTGGGAAGGTAACCTGGGTCCTCTGTAAAGCAGCAGTGCTTTTAACCACTGAGCCAGCTCTCCAGACCCTGCCTCACGAGTTCGCTCTAGATGGGGCTCTGATGTCCCTTAACCCTGCCACAGTGAAGACAGGACAGTTCATTGACATTCCCCACACTCATGCTGGTGCAGAAAGCATTTTAACCACCGAGCTGTCCCTGTCCTGATTTTACCTTCAAGACAAGGACTCTTTGTCTCTCTCTGTCTCTGTCTCTATCTCTCCACACTCACATACCCACATACACAGCACCCACTCATCACCCATGAGCAAACACCCCAACACCCCATGCCCAGCACCAACAGAGCACAGGTGCATGTGACCGGCTCAGGCTCAGCTTCTCCTACCTGCCCACTCTCTGATCACTGCAGTGGGAAGGTCGGGCAGCTGCCAGGCTAACATGTTTTTCGTATGTATTTTCTCCAGAGGGTTTGGGATGGAAAAGCCCTGGGAAAAAGCACAGAATGAAGGAATGGGGTGGGCCCAAACTCATAGTCTTGGGTCCAGGCTGTGTTCCATGGGGCTTCTGCCTCCATGACATCACCTCACACAGCAGTCTGGCTCGGGGCAGGCTGCACCCCACTGCGCCTGAGGGGTCTGGAGAAAAGGTACCCTGGGTGTAGAGTAACAGGCTTCAATAGTGTGTCACCAGATCCCTGGACAGGGCTCACCCAGGCAGCAGAGGCAGGGGCCAGGCAGCTGGGGACCCCAGCGAGAGGAGCCGTGCCTGGGACGGAATGTTTGTCCCAGCGACTTGGCTTTCTCTTCCTGACCCAGCCTGCCTTGACCCCAGTCCATCCTGGGCTAGCAACTGGTGCTGGGTGGCTCGTGCAGCCTTGGCCAGGCACAGTGGCTAGGCTGGAGTCTTGACAATCACCAAGGCTCTCCACGGGCTGCAGTTGTGGCGTCTGTATGGCTCTACAGAATCTGGAAGATTCCTTGGCTGCTGAACTTCCACCCTCGCTGGCGCAGCTGACAGGAGAAGTCTCAGAAAACCCCCTCTCTTTCCAAGATCGTGGTGGAGACAGGAGTTGTCTGGCGGTGGTCTGGGAGACTGGACGCTTGCTCAAGACCGGTGATAGGTCTCCATGTCCCATGGTTCCTAGGGGCAGGGATCTTGGGAAATCCGTGTCCCCCAGGGCTCCAGCCACCAAGTCTCCTCAGAGCACATTCCAGGGCCTGATGGGACCTGAAGCTGTAGACTGGAATGGAAGGAGGTGGGGCCTGGAGGGTGCCTAGAGGGACACGGGCTGCGGAGAGCAGGGCCAGATCTGGCCGGACCACTGGGAAGCTAGGAATAGCTACACCTCCCCTCTTCCTTCAGAAAAGGGCACCGTGGGCTGGCACAGGGCATGCTGGGCAGGCTGGGCACTAGATCCAGGTCTGGTGCCGGCTCCCACATCATTGCTGGGTGAGCCACAGGGCAGCAGAGGCTGTGCTGTTGATGGCGCTAGGTCTTGAGTGCTCCTAGATTCACCCCGAAAAAGGAGTATTGGGTCCTTGAGGGCCACTAGGTCTGCAGAAACGTGGTACTAACGGTGCTGCTCCTGGCCTTCGGGAGGCAGGAGGAGGCAGTGAGAGACTGGGCGCTGGCCTGGTTTCCGTTTTCCTGTTGGCAGCTCTGAGCTATGTGGTCTGAAGGAGGGCTGGGGTGGCAAGCACCTAACTGTGAGCTCAAGAAGACTGTATGGCTAGCCCCATCTGTGAGATGGTGTCTGCGCATGTGTAACCCTAGGCCGGAAGTTTGGCTACCTCCTGGACATGGCCACCTACCAGGCCTTCATCGCTGAGGACGGAGGCCCATATGCCACTTGTTGGGGGCCATGGGATTCTCACCATGCCTGGTCTCCCCAGCGTCTTTGGAGGAAAGCCCCAGTCAGGCCCTAGGCAGGGGTGTAGCTCAGACTCCGAATGAACGCTTTCATGGAGGGGTCGGTTGGAGGGTGAGTGCAGTTGGCCCTACCAGGCTCGGCTTCTCAGTAGGTAAGGAGTCAGAATGGTGGACTCTGGAGGCAAAGCTAATGTCCACGGTATGACCCCACCCCCCACCCATTTTACCATGGTCAAAATATGGCCGGTTGTGACCTTTTGGATTAGAGACCACTCTTTCCCATTCTGGCTGTGCTGAGATCTTTGTCCAGCGTTGGGTTATTACCTAAACTTCTTAGAGTCAGGGGATCTGGAGTCTATGCAGCCTCCTTAGAAGTGACATAGAGTGTTCCAAAAGTAACCCAGACTGGGTGCCTGGGGGTAAGTGTCCCAGGCTCTGCCCGCCAAAGGCGACGCTCCCTGGCGCCTCCGCAAAGCCTAGCCCCCAAAGCGCCCTGTTATTTCATTGACTGGAGAAGAAAAATGGGGCGGGTGGAAGATGTACCCCGCTCAAAGGAAGGGCTCCGCTTTCTCTCAACCCTGCCCCTTCCCAAGCGGCCAGCATTCGTGGGGCAGGATGGAAAGCTCTGTCCTGTCCTGTCGCCCATACCGGGCTGGGAGTTGAAGGGTGACAGCGCAGGGCTATGGCGTCTGTGTCCGTATCTGGCTTCGCAGGGCCCTGACCGCAGGGGGAAACGGAAGTTCAGGGAGGTTCACAGCCTTGCCCAAGATATCCCGGCAGTCCAAAGTGCTCGGGTCTTGCTTCCCAAACAGGGGAGACAGCCGCTACGGAACAGCCCAGGCGTGGGCATAGGCAGGAGATGGAGGTTTGCGCGGGGCGAAAGTCCGAAGGAGGCCTGAGGACCCAGAGCTGAGGCTCACGGTGCGCGGCGGGCGGTGGGGGCGTGTGTCCCTGGGCAGGAGGCGCGAGCCAGGGCATGAAGGACAAAAGGTCCCCGTAGAGAGGACGCTGCCACTCCCGTGCCAGGATCATGAAAGGGCGGAAAGGGGTGCCGAGGGGAGGCGAGGCGGGCAGCCCGGGTCCGAGGGCGCGGAAGGGACCAGTGCGAAGGTCCGCGCCGGGTGGGCCCGCCCCGGGGCGCCTCCGTGCTAGGCCGGGAAGGACGGTGAGCGCGCCGTCGAGGCGCAGCAGCCCGCGCGCCCCCTCCGGCAGCGACGCGGGGTCCGGGCGGGGAGGGCAGGGGCGGCGCCAGGCAGCGGTGACGTGCGCGGGGGACGTGCATCGCGAGGGATGAGAGCACTTAAAGTCGCCCCCGGCGCCGAGGCGGCCAGAGGCGACGCGGCGGCCGGCGGGAGCGGCGGCAGGTAGGCGCGGCGGGATGCTCGGCGCGCGGAGCGGGCCGGGACCCCGCTCCAGCCGCCCGGGGTTGGGCCTTCCTCCTTCAGGTGCCGGATCGCGGCCCGGAGCTCCTGGCCCCTGGGCCCCTGGGCCCCTGGGCCCCTGGGTCCCTAGGCCCCTGGCCTCCTGCCCTCCTGGTTCTCCAGCTCCTATTCTCGCCGGTCTTGGAGAACCCTCGCACTACTGCGGCGCCACTAAAGGGCCCGGAGCAGCCAGTGGCGCGCTCGCATCCTGCCTCCCTGGCCTCAAAGAAGCCTACCTAGCTGGCCATCAGGCGGCCCTCGGGGGCTGGGCTTCATCCAGGAGGCAGCTGCCCCGGGCGACCTAACGTCCAGAGTATAAATAGCTCGGCCCGAGAGGGCTGGAGGGTGGCCGGGCGGCCCGGGAGCCTGGGCTATATTTGGTGGGAATGCTACAGCCTTCTTGGAACCCTGAACCTCCAAAGGGCGTCAGCAGGCTGCCCAGTGAGAGAGGCACACGTGCGCTTCGGAACGGTGCCAGGTTGGAGGAGGAATGCCCTCGGGTCTCTTTCTCTCGTCTGCTCTTCACATGCCCCCTTCCTACCACCTTAAACTCACTCACCCTCACCCAGCCACCACCACTAGCCCAAACTAGGCAGATGAAAAGGGGGCTTTCCTGCGGCAAGGGCTCGGTTTGCCCTATCCTCTTCCTGTAGGAAAACCGGAAACAGCCTCAGCTTTCTTACCTGAAAAGTGGGCTGACCAGGCGCCTGCCTGGATGCTGGGCCAGACAAAAGGGTCAAGCGCAAAGGAAGCCGTTAATTCTGGACAGCGGATGGTATTTGGAATCTGAGTAACAGGCAAGGGGGCAGCAGGATCCAGAGCCTGCTCCTTCCCCAACGCACAGGGCTGCATGTCCAGGCCAACAGAAGCGCATTCTGTAGCGTCAGAGTCCGGGCGACGGGGAGGGCTGAGACAGTAACCGGCCAGGCTCCCATACAACCCGGGCTCGGTAGCTTGTCCAAAGCTGGGGCCGGATTCCGGGAGCAGGTTATCTCCCAGGGCCCCCAGCTTCATTCCACAGGCCCAAAGGTCGGCTGGTGCCCAGTGGGTCTGCTGTGTGGAGGAGTGAGGACGGTCTTAAAAAGTGTGGGGACTCCCTCAGGAACTAGGATGGTGTGCAAATAATGGGTCTGCCCCTCCAAGGCCACCTCGGTTTGTGTGGCGCCTTCTTGACAAGGACTTCATGTTGACAAAGCCTTGAATGGTGGTTTGGCTCCAAGATGGACTTGCCCAAACACTAGTTACCTTGGGCAGCGCATGCTCCCCATAAGAAAGACCTCACTGGCTGCACGCCTGAACTCGGAGGGGCAGCAAGGAGAAAGCGCTGGCGATCTGAGAGCGAGCCATCAAAAAGTGATGTGGAGGAGGCCGGTGCGTGCACCCCACAGGACGTCGCTTTTCCGGGACTGCCTGACTCCAGAGCCAGTCCTGCAGTGAACTGGCCAAGAAGGGGAAGGCTGGGGAGGGGCCAAGAGCACGTGGCACCTTGAGGACCCAAGCGGGACCTTTAGATGGTGATGCTAAGCAGTTGGAGACGCCTCTGGACCAGGCCTTGGTCCACCTGGCACTGAACACTGGCACAGGGTCAGGTCAGGAATGGAGACCGCCCTAGTGGCCAGAGTGGGCTTCCGGCCTCAGTTCCCATCAGCGGAATGGGCCACGAGGGGCAGATGCACTCCTGAGCTCGCTCAGGCATCTCAGGCTCAGCCGCGCGCGCCAGCTCGCCTCTGCGAAGGGCAGAAGGAACTGGCACGCCTCGCAAGCGAATCTGCGAATCTGCGGTTGAGTTAGATCCCTAGCCATAGGTCCCTCAGGGCATGTGGGGCCGCGCGCTGCAAGTACGGTAGCCGCGGAGAAGGACCGCCTACTCTAGGCAATACGGCGGCGGCTCCTCCCTTGGCGCGGTCACGTCCCCCACGTCCCGAGGCCGCTCGGGCGGGGCTTCCTCCCCTTCCAGACCCTAGTCCGACCCACTGAGCCCCTCCCAGGTCGGCCGGACCTCCACCTCCAGCTTGCAGATGAAGTGAGAGGGTTGCCGCCCTCTAGTCCAAGCCCCACCCCCACCCATACTTCGGCCATCTCCAGACCTACCTTCTCCTCGCTGGGCAGTAATGGGAGTCGGGTGGGGGTCGCTTACGACTTCCGAGCCTCCCTTTAGCTTTAGCCTTACCTCGTAGCTTTAGGAAGACTTGCGTGGGAGTCGAGGGATCCGTAAGATGGCCTTGTGGAGTGGCTAGTGCGATGCCCAGCAGGCCTCGGTGGAACCTTGCTGGAGAGTGGTGCGGAGAAGGGTTCCCCACAGCAAGCTGGGGCTGGCTCCCAGGGTTCCCCATTTTGTGACAGCCAACCACTGAAGGTTTCTCACAGGAGGTGGGCCTCAGCCCAGCTATCGGAGGACAGCGATTCAGGGATCGCAGGCTGGAGGTGGGGTGGCTCTGGGCAACAGTGTGCACTCTGGCAAACAGGGCCAGTATTTCTAGCCCACTGGCCCCTTCAGAGTTGATGTGAGCTGACAGAACCAGCTTGCAGGGGAGCCAGGCGTGCGCTGGAGCCTGGAGGGCCGGGCACGCCCACGGCCCATCCTCTGCTGCGCCATGGAGGCCTCTTCAGAAAACTCCCCTAGGGACAATTCCACTCCTGCTTGTGCACACTGGTGGGCTCAGGGCTGAGGGCCCAGAGAGGAGAGGGAAGGGAGGGGAAGCAACTTGGAAGGGCGCCTTTCAGCAACCTCTTGCCCCTGTCGCCCTGAGACACTGGGTGCCAGCCTCGGCTGGTTGCTTACTTGTTCTCTGAGGATCCAGAATGTAACTCAAGGAATGGAGCTGTCTCAGTTCCTGTCATCTACTCTGACCACAGAGGCAGGACCAAGGCTGCCCTCCTGAGGGCAGGCACTTAATGGGCACCTGGGCACCCTTCCGTGGACTGGTAGTCCAGCTCCAAGCACCCCGGCTGGCGAAAGGGGTCCAGTCCAGGCCCTTGAATGCAAAGGGCTGTTCCGAGGGACAGCCATAGGCAACAGTCAGAGTGGTTGGCCTCCCAAGGGCCTCGAGGCAGCAGCCCTCCGGAGTGCCCTGGCCTCCCCTGACCCAGCCCCCACCCCAGATCAGTTTTCTGTCACCTGGAGGCCGAGTTATTTCTGGGCTGCTTCATATGCCTCCCTGGGAGGGTAAATGTCACTGAAAGGCCAGACAACTTGGGTGTGTCCATGCGAGATGCTTTGGGAGGTGAGGCCCCTGTGTTGAGCAGGGGAGCCCTGGGGTTAGGGCACTGGCCTGCATTGGGGCCCACCTAGGCTCTGTTGCCCTGTAGACCTACCCGGCCTTTTACTCCCCTGGGATGTGTCCAGGCCTGGGTGGTAACCGCAGGCTTAAACTACCCATGGTTGGGAAGAAACTGTCATTTTCCCCCTTGCAGGGGAGAAGTCTCCCTGTGCAGGGTCCTGGTGACAGGCTGGGCGCGGACAATGTGGGTACTGGGACTTGGCGGGGAGCGTCCTGCCCCCGTGCCGGCACCTCCTTGGCACTGTAGGTGGCCCTCCCTGTGTAGACCTCACATGGCAGCCACAGGGCCGAGAAGTCCCAGAACATGTCCTCTTCTGAACTTGCTTGCTCTCCAAGACCCCAGCTCAGAGGGCACCTCACCTGCAGCGGTGACTGGTCCCATTTCTGTGCTCTGTGGACTGTGCGCTTCGGAGCAAACACGCAAAGGTAGAGAGACTCCAGATGGCTGGAGTAACCGTTGGTGCCTTGGCCAGTGCTAGCTCTAGCTGCTGCAGCCCAGAAGCTGAGCCTGGGACCCAGAGTTAGGCTTGTGCTCACTGCTGGTTCTGGGCATGCTCCCTTCTGCTTTGCACGGAAACTGGATTTCACTTTTTTAAAAATACACTTTATTTTGTGAACACGGGATGGGGCACAGGTGTGCGTGTGCCTCTGTGTGCCATTGCTTGTGGAGGTCAGAGGACAACCTGGAGGAGTCATTTTTCATCTTCCATCATGTAGGTCATGGGGACTGAACTTGGGCTGTCAGCCTCAGTGGAAGGTGCCTTTACCCACTGAGCCATCTTGCCCACCCTGGATTGATTTTAAAACGTGCAACAGGAGGCTGGGCATGGTCATGCATATAATTCTCAGCACTCAGGACTTAGAGGCAGGAGCATTCAAGGCCATCTATTATACATCCAGGCCAGCTAGGGCTACGTAGAGAGATGCTGTCTACGTGCATGTGTGTGCACACAGGAAGGAAGGAAGGCAGGAAGGAAAGGCAACAAGTCCCACAAGCCCACAGTCTGAACGAGCAGGAACCCCGGAGTTGGCCGCCCTCCCCCTTCTCTCCATGATTGCTCCTCAAATCCTGGGCCTGGGCTCATCCTTGTGTTTTCTTTTGGTTTCATCTCTAAATGGTATAGCCCTAAAATGTACCCACCCCAGTTTTTAAGATTCCCTTTTTAAGTGCATGTCCGGACAGACACTTCTCCTTTGGGTCTGAGGAGGAAGGGTCTGGGCTGGGCCCTGGCCAGAGGCAGGACGCAGCTCCCAAAGGTCGTGTGCGCTCCCAGCAGGGCTCTGAGCTGTCTCAGAACCTCGGGGGAACCGCGGCAGGGGCAACTAGGATAGTCTGGGTTAGCATGTCTGTGCCCCAATCACAGGACTTGTCACAGAAGGAAGGCAGCAAAGGCGCAGGGCTGAGGTCCATGCCCAGCCCCGGGGTGGGCAGCCAAGGTGAGCAGCTCTCCTCCTGTCAGGGGTTTACACTCCAGTGCCAGCCCTCACACTTAATGGCCTGCTTTTCTCCCCAGAGCTGTTTGGCTGCACGCCATTTGTGGAGAGCGAAGACCAGGCTGCGAGAACACTCAGCGCAAAGGCCACTCGGCCTCTCAGCGCAGAGGCCACTCAGCTCAGCTCTTGGTGAGTTGGGGACAGGGCTAACCTGGGGTTAGGGGAATACAGCCTGGGGTGCGACAGCCAAACCCAAGCCTGGTCCTGGCTCTCCGGCTTGCTCTGTCTCATATCAACTAAGGCCCTGAAATCATGACAAGGGAAGTTAGCACTGGGCAGGTGTGGGACTTGGGACAGTCCTTGATTGCCTTAGTAGCTAAGGGCCAGAGGATTGACTCCCGTTCCGTAGATCGGGATATGAGCTGCTCCCATGGCTGACTTTTTTTGTCCTTGACCCCGTACCTTCCCAGAATCCATCAGGATCTACAGCCTCTTCCGAAAGCCAATGTCATAGCTGGTTCCAGGCAGGGTTCCAGCTCCAGCTAGCTCCAGCTCCAGCAGTGGGGCCCTCAGACACCACAACCTACTTATTTCACCTGCCTCTGCACCAGCCACGTCCCCAGGGTGGCCAGAGTAGCCAAGAGTGCAGCCTGGCTCCTTGGGCAGGGAAGCGGGGCGGGGCCGGGCCTAGGCACTCATAGGTGGGCAGAGTGCTGGGCACCCCCCCAGACCTGAGGGAACAGGAAGTACGGGCTGTGCAGGGATGGCCCTGTGGCCGTAGCTTCTGCTGGGGTGGCTGATTCTTGGGTCTGCCCTTCCCAGGAGGTAGAGTGAGCCCTGGCTGAGCCCTGAGGTCACTGTCCTGCAGAGGCGCCACCTGTGTGGGAACAAGCCCCTGAACGAAGGGTCCAGACAGCTTCCCACAGCGCCAGCGGAGGGTGGCTGGGCTGGGAGCCCTGAGCCGGCAGGAGCAGACTGGCCGTGGTTGAGCTGCTGCAGAAATGGCCGGGTGCCAATCCTGCCACTCTCCAGGTGTCCTGCCTGCTTCTGTCTCCACCCTCCTCTGCTGGGCTGTGGCTGAGGTGATCCCCCTGGCACCCTGAGTCAGCCCTTTTTCTTTCCTCAGGTGGAAGCAGCCCTCCTGGCTATGGGAGGGGCTGTGGTGGACGAGGGTCCCACAGGCGTTAAGGCCCCTGATGGAGGCTGGGGCTGGGCCGTCCTCTTTGGCTGCTTCGTCATCACGGGTTTCTCCTACGCCTTCCCCAAAGCAGTGAGCGTTTTTTTCAAGGAGCTCATGCATGAGTTTGGGATTGGCTACAGCGACACGGCCTGGATCTCCTCCATCCTGCTGGCCATGCTGTATGGCACAGGTGAGGCGGGGGGGGGGGGGGGGGGGGGGGGCCCCCCCCCCGGGGGGGGGCGCCGGGGGGGCGGGGCGCGAGCGGGGGGGCGGTGGGCGCCCC